GCCCCGCGACCCTGGGACGGATAGAGACCGCGGTGAGGGACCACCCCTCTGCACACCCCCTATGGTGTCGAGAAAGCGCCCCGCCCGCCACGCCCCGCGACCCTGGGACGGATAGAGACCGCGGTGAGGGACCACCCCCTGCGCACCCTGTGTGGTGTGGAGGAAGTGCCACGCCCGCCACGCCCCACGACCATGGAACGGATACAGACCGCAGTGGGGGACCACCCCCTGTGCACCCTCTATGGTGTCGAGAAAGTGCCACGCCTGCCACGCCCCGCGACCCTGGGACGGATGGAGACCGCGGTGAGGAACCACCTCCTGCGCACCCCGTGTGGCGTGGAGAACGTACCACGCCCGCCACGCCCCGCGACTTTGGGACGGATAGAGAGGGGAAGAGGGAGGAGTGAGTGAGCGCGGGTGGGGCGCGGCAGAGAAGAAAGCAGTAACCACACGAAGCATGCCGCCTTTCCCGCGCGGAACGCAAAATTGCATGCGATTTTCCTGTGGTCAACTGGACAACCAGCAAACTCGCCCGAGTGAACTGCCGGGTGGCCTGCCCGAGCGGTTACAAGAGCGAGTTGGCGAGTGAGTTTCGGGCGAGCTTTCCACTTGGGGAGGGTGGGCTGGAGGATGAGGCTGCGCATAATTGAATGGCTGCACCCTCGGGGCGACGGTCAGCCTGCCGCGAGGCGCGAAGTGCCCCAGGATTGCGTGCAACTGGCTGGGCCCACTCGCGCATTGAAAAGCACGCGCCGCTGCTGTCAGCACAGGTTGCTCATAGTTCGCAGCGCTCGAACGTAGAAGGGCGCCGCAGGCGAAGTGGGTCGTGATGTGCAATCCACGCGCGTCCCCCTTGTCCTCGCGGCCCTCCCTCTTCCTCGCCTCTCGCTCCGCCCCGTGTCTTGTTTACGACGCCCAGCTGGCTTGGGCGGCTGCAGCCGAAGCTTCTTTCATCCAAACTTTCAGGGCTGGCTCGAGGTGCAAGGCGCAGACGCTAGAGGTGAAGCGCGGGCGGGGCGAGTTGGGGGTGGGGCGCGTTTTTTTTGTCTGGGGGGGGGGGGAGCGCGGGGGCAGGCGCTGAGACCGCCACGGGCGACCGGGCGAGAGGGGGTGGATTCGCCGGCCGGGGAAAAAAGGGAAATAAAAAATAAAAGAATACCCTGTGACGTACCCAACCAAAGTACCCTGTGACGTACCCAACCCTTTCGACACGCGCGGCTTTCGCCCCCTGTCGCCACTCCTCCCCGGCAGGAAGGAACTGGCGAGTCCACGTGTTCCGCCAGCGGCATTGCCCGGCGACTCGCTGTGGCTGGGCTCGCGCGGCTCACCGTGGCCGAGCCCGCTCAGTGCAGCTCGCGCCGAGGCCGCCAGCCACGGCCCCAACCCGAGGTGCAGCGCGAGCGCAGCAGCCGCGAGGCCGAGCGCGCGCCAACCCCACGGCGCGAGGACCACGCTGAGCACGTTCCCGCCCAGGCCACCCAGGTCGTGGCGGCTCTCGACGCTGTCCGCGATGTAGAACTCCCGGAAGCAGATCTTCTCCGCGGCCACGGCGCCGAGGGCGATTATATCGAGCCAGGGAGCAAGAAGAGCGCCGCGGTCACCAGGAGCGTCGCGCGCGCGGGTGTGCCCATCCGTCCCCAATCGGAAACCTCGCCGCATGCCTTCACGTACTCCGCCTCCTTCGCCGCGCGCTTCCGCACTTCGTCGTGCCCTGGCCGATGCGTCTTTCAGAAGCTCCTCCTCCGACGCATCGTCTCGTTTCATGATGCCTCTAGGCGAAGACGACGGCGGCGCCTGCCTGGCAAGCAGCCGCGAGCCCTGTGGCCACAGGGGCAATTACACCCCACTTTCCTTCAGTGGCGCTCTCCATTGTCAACAAGACACCCACGAGGGTCTGCGGGATGATGCTCACGAAGATGATTGGAACTGTACCACGAAGCATTTGGGGAATGCCCAGCCGGAGTATGCCGCAGAGCACGCTCGCTGGGAAGTCGGGGCCTGCCACCAAGAGGCGCACCTTGGACAGCTTGAAGCCCTGTTCCTTGAGTGCTGCCTCCGTGGCCAAGACATCCACCTTGGTCACGCCAACGAACTGCTGCTCTTTTCCAGACGTGCTCATGAAATTGCCGAGCGCATACTGGACAAGGCGCGCTACAAACTTCGCCGCGCCTGCCGCGATACATGCCAGCACCAGGCCGTTCCAGATGCCGACGGGGCCCTCCTTCTGCGACAGTGCTCCAATCACGGCCAGCGAACATATAGACCCCACTCCCAGGGACGATGGGGTTCAAGAACATTCCCAGCCCGATAACCCACACCATCACGAAGATTGCGCCCATCTGTGGCCCCGCGGCTTCGCTTTCTCCATTCAGGTAGGAGGAGATGATGAATGCTGCCTTCGAGCCGACTGCGAGCACGACACACACTTCTGCCACCACACACGCCTTGCACAAGATATCTGCCCAATCCCTGTTATCCACGGACTGCAGAAATCTACTGT